TTGGGTTGAAAGAGCGAGGTACGGTGAGGGAAAAGTGAGACTGCGAAGGGGAAGAACAATACATCGGTATGTGAAGCAGTAAAATTGATACTCCAAGGATTGTGAAAGGGCAAATTTGACAAGCAACGTAGTAGAATAAGCACAGAAAAACTAGCATGGTGCCCTAACTTGCGGAACTTATTTTGACAACTTGAAGTGGGGTTAAATTTTGCCTGAATGGTAGGCCATAAGTAAAATGACCTTGATAAAATGAGACTCTTTAAAAGTTTATTTTAAACTTTTTCCGAATTTTTGCCTTTCGGTTCATATTTAGGCCTGAGCACCGTAACTGGAGTAGAGCGAAATCTGGTAGATTTCGCCTGTGGTTTTTCGAGCATAAGTCTTTAATCTCGCCCCTCTTCGCCCCTAGTTTGTAAGCTGAACTAAGTGAATGGTCGTTTATTTCATGCGCTGTTTGCGCATGAAATAAACGACCATTCACTCAGTTTGGTTACAAACTGTTTTTGATTTGAGAATCGTGACAAAGTGACCGTTGCTTTTTGACCAGTTCAAAAATTGGCCAGTTACACTGCTTTAGTACTGTGTAATTTTGCGGAATCAAGTTGGCTGAAGCATTTGGTTGAAAAGCTGTTAAACTGCAGGGCAGTATACTTTGTCTAAAACAATCAAAATGACTGAAATTGGTGTCTTCTGCAAGCGAAAGTTTTTAAAAAAACCTCCTCGAACCGTGTGATTCAGTACTTCTCAACAAGGTCGGGATTAATGATTTATAGGTCTTTTTGCAATTTGTGCTTTGCATGAAAATCAAGCAAAATTTGTAATAAAAACGAAGAGTCAGTGTGGAAAAAAAGGCGCTGTTTGCTTAAGACATAATTATCGCGAAGTTTATTTTTCGAAATTGCCGAGAAAACTTTTCTCAACACTCTTGAAAAACGAGCAAAAAGGATATTACACGCTTAGTCATTCGTAGTATTACGCCACTGGACATTTAAGGTCGGTGTCGAGCAGCGTTCATTGCGGAGTAGCATGTTAGTGTCCGGGCAACGTTCCTCTTGGAATTTGCATCTTTTTTGGTAAGTATAACGCAGTATCAAGTGATTTTTTGTCTTCTCATGCTAATGTTGAGGTTTCGAATCCGCCATTGGTTGTTCCACCCAATTCCTCTGCAC